CATCCCCCACATTTCACTATATATTGCTCATTTGGTGCCCCCTCTTTTTGAAATTCTTAGATCCGCCCCTGCGTGGAAGAAAATATCAAACACGTGTGATATTTTCCACACGCAAGAAATCGATGCGTTTGCATGCGCACACGCTGTGTTTTGTGCTGCGCCATCAGCCACGCGTGGCCGATGGCGCAGCACAAAACACAGCGTGTGCGGCGGGCTTTAAGAGTGCCACACATTTCGAGACACAGACACTCTGCGAAGATCGAGATATAGGGTAATATCGCCAGTGCAATAGTAAATTGTCAATGAGTTCCTCTTCCCACCATCAAGTTAATTCGCACCAGCTAACACCGTTTTATCGCTGCATGGTTGACGTCAATTTTTCTACTAGTTCAATTGCGTTTCGTTAGAGCTAGTAATCGTGCTTTTGACTGTGTATGCAAATCTACAGATGCGTAGGGCAGATGGGGTCGTTGTCGTATCAGGTACTACAGATATGTACCCGAGGTAGTTTTAGGTTTTTAGTATTATGTTTATATTTTTATATGAGGTATGTTTAGGGTTAGGGTTAGAGTTAGGGTTAAAGTTAGGGTTAGGGTTAGGGTTAGGGTTAGTGTTAGGGTTAGGGTACACTTCTGTAGTACAAGTCTGGTACACTTTGTGTATACATATATGTACCTCGGGTACATATCTGTAGTACCTGATACGACAACGACCCCTTGAACATTAGTAGGCCCTACTGTGTGTTTACGTTCCCGTGTACCGAGAGGCGTGGACATCTGAATTCAGCAATGCGGTTCTAATTTTCGTCGCGTTACCGCACGCATTTACTTTTTTAATTTCTTAAAAATAAGGACTAAGTCGCGAAGCCCATTCATTGAACCTCAACGCGATGTAAATTCCAATCGAGGAGCAGGAAAAGTTTGCATACATCGATTGGAACTAAACAGTGGCCGACAATAGCTTACAGCTGAGTGCGATGCGGGGGAGTTGCGATTGAACTAGCTGAAACAAAATTTGTTAGTTTGGCCGTATTCCAACGTTCTACGGTAATTGTATCACTTCTTTGTAATCCTAACAAAATGTTATAGCGGTTTCTTACCTTTGCGAATGCGTGTCTGGCAGTATCTAGCAGTGAGGACGCGTTGAAATTACTCTTGAACACTGATTCGCGTAATGTTTCGCAGCGGAATTCAATATGGCGGAGGGATCGCAGACGCCTCGTGCAGATTTCATGAAGGCATGTAAACGATGCGTGTACATTTCTAGATGATATGCGGTCGTCACGTGAGGAGCGTTACTTCCCGCATTCTCCGCCAGGGAACGGGGAAGGCTGTCGTTGTCGTTGTACATGTGGGTGGACCGGGAGGATTTAAACTCGGAATTAATATTAAGTGATGTGCACTTTGTAGGTTTAATCAGCGTTTGAATCGATCACTTTCGCTGTTATGCTTCGTGTTGTTTGTGATGGCCCTATTATATCAACCAGCTGCCAGGGCAATTTAAAAGTAATTACCTTTACAGCGTAACGTACGTGGCTTCGAAATTAATGCCCTCCGATATTTTACACTTTTATCAACTTTATCCCTGCGTACGTACGTATGTGTACTTATCGACCCCCTACATTTAACAGCTTTTTAGCATTTAACCTTTCTTTTTGATCAAGGTGTAATTTAAAAAGCCTGCTGATAACTGATTACTGATATAATTAATGCTGAATAATCGTGACTATTATAGGACTACACTGTGATAGTGAGTTATCATGACGTTTACTTCCTGTAACACTTTCCTTCTTTGAACAGAAGTGAACTGTCTGTACAGTAACAGTACTGTCTTGTGAAAGAATTGGAAGACAACGCCACCTTCAATGTCTCAACTCACGGTGGTATAGAGATAGTACGTGCAGCAGTGACTATCCTAACTTCAATACTGCCTACTCCAGGCCAATGATGCACACTTTCGGACAGTATAATATATAGGCACTCAGATGAATGTGTAAATAAATGTTGCTACGTGTGTTATTCATACAAATAATAGTTGAATAGTTGTAAGCTATGCCAATGAAAACTATTTGATAGGTACGATAGTGAAAATACAAAAACCATTGTACTAATTACTTATTATCAAAAGTTTAATGTTTAAGTTATCTAACATTTAAATGCACATCCTACATGTAACTGTATGCAAAGTATGTACAAACGTAGGTGCTGTGATTATTAATCACAACAACAGATCCCACGCAAAATAGTGTTTTCAATGCAATAGGTTTTCAAAATTGTAACATCAAACTCCATCTGATTAAAAATCAAGCATATTCAGATGTAAAGCCAGATTAACTTCTGTTGTAATATCCTTGTCGAAACACTGCTTTACATTTCTTCATAGGTAGTGCCAGTATTACCAATTAGCTCCAGACACACTTAAATGTAAGTGTAGAAACCACACTATTATTCAGTACTGCAGCCAGTAAATAGATGTTTGCATTGCCTTATATGATGAAACGCCAAACGTTGATGATTGAAACAGATACATGCTTTTTGAATACAGACGCATTGCACAAGTATGAAATAGCTTGCACAATCTTTACCATACGATTACCATATCTTTGCAGCTAGTCAGCTACTAGATTTATTGCTCAGGTACTAACAATCATTTCCAAGCACGGGGTACAGCTTAGCTATGGTAGAGATTCAACTATTTCTCTTGTAATTGATGTCACTATTATTTAAGTGCATGCCGTGATGACATACACAGAAATATAAATATACATGCATAAATAATTGTGGCTAGTATATTGTATTGATACTTCCTTATCAACAAACCCTAAACAGAGTACATGTCCCCCCACCTTCCCCAAAAATGATTACATGATTAATGAAAAGAGAAATGTCACAATCATGTTACTGTACAGTGTACATACAAAAATACAACTTATTCATGCAGTCACGTTACCAGTAATACATATAGTAACACCTCCAACATGTATTTTTCTATATATAGTAATTACTATATATATTTCTGAAACAACATGTACGGAATCGTATTTGGGTTTTTTGAGTGTCACAACTTATTTCAATCATTGGGTGGCACGTATTCATGCACAGGCCCGTTTTATTGAAATTATACATCTACACACCAAGATGTATGCACGCGCGCGCGCGCGCACGCACGCACGCACGCACGCACGCACACACACACACACACACACACCACACCACACACAAACAGACATGTATGCACACATGCACACACATACATACACACACATTGCATATCTAAGACTTTACTATATAGTGGTTTGTTTCTTTTAATATTCAGGGTTCTCCAAGCCTTTTCATTATAGCATGGGGGTGCTGCCTTTACGGTCCTAGTTGCAAATCACCAAAGTCGATTTGCGTGGTAGGGGGGTCCGGGGGCATGCAACCCCCCCCCCCCGGAAAATGTTTGAATTGTAGAAGCTCTGAGATGCAATCTGGGACACTTCTTGTGTGTACACCAGGATGGCGGCTATGATATTTAGAGTGGCGGGTGCATTTTAGGATGGCGGGGCTCGACGATAGCCTGGCGGGCCGCCAGGCTATAAGTGCTCTTGGAGAAGCCTGATATTCTGTAAATCCACTTCATTAGTGCAACCAAAACCACTTCCTGAAATACCTAGATGCATTGTAGGATACCACAGAAACAAACATGTACGGCTGACACATAATTATGTAATTTGTACTACATCTTTCCATCTACACCACTACAGTGGCCATCCACCTAAATAGTACCATAATGTCCACGAATAACACCAAACAACGGACATCATATTCCAACGGACGGTTGTTGGTCGACGCGATACTGAGATCGCAATTGTGAGTATAAGCCGTTTTCTCCACTTGTTCAGGTAACGAGCGACAAATTCCAAGTAAAGATAATGCATAGGCATGATAGGAGGATGCAGATGCAAGAGCGATGCACTAATTGTGTAATATGCAATCACAATTTATATCTTAATGAAATACTGGCTCCAGCAAGCATTATTTAGAGTGAATCCAACACTCCCAAGCGTAACTGATGCGCATGTGTCTGTCGTCTAGGGTAGTGTAGGAGAGTGATAGGTGAGCAAGCGTGCAAAATCTCTGCTGCAGATGTTGAATAAATGTTACAGTGCATGCACGCAACGTGTAATTTACACGGTGTTCCACAACGGCAGAAAGAAAATGCTCAAGATCACTCGAAGAGCCAAACTCTGCAGTGTGTGCACGATGAAACACGTTTTGATTACCGACGTATGCATCCAGAGTAAGTGTGGACAAATGAACGTATTCAACATGTGTTACTCACCATCGCAGCGACGACACCTCGGTTATTCGTGTCCCGGATCTCGCCTTATTTACATAAGCAGCCCAAACAAGGCACTCTCACAATGACCAGGTAAAATTCGCATGCTTTGTAAGGCAGCAGCCACGACAAATAAAAAAGAACACACGCCTGTGTCATTTGCCCCGGCTGATGCTGCCACCTGTTTGGGCTCAACATCGATATCATACAAAACCTATGTGAAAAAATATACAGCGGCGATTTGACACGCACATGATTACTACTGTGGCGCCCCCTCATAATCCGGTGGCCGGCGTCGCAGCTGGTCCATGCACCCGCTTCATCGCGTCGATGCCCGCCATCGCATCGTCTGCCGTGTGATTGGACGAAGTCTCCATCGCCATCGGTTGGTTGGAGTTTGCGTCCATGCTGACTGCTGGCTGGACGTTTTCCTCGTTGCCCGACTCATCACCCCAGTCGACCTTGAAGCGTGTCACGCGTGGGTCCGAAGCAAGAATGTTGCGAGCGAGCTGAAAGGATATTATTATTATTATTATTATTATTAATCTTTATTGCATGTAATACAAATACAAATACATGTACTGAAGACTTTTTTTATGGAGAAAAAATCTGATAAATGCAATAGTGTTGAGCAGTTAAAATAATAATACATAATTTGCTATGGATTGCCACTTTGAACTGCGTCATACGTAGAAGTAATATTACAGTGAAGTAACGACTGTGTAGTAGACCTGCTTCAGAATTTCCATTTATGAGCAGCAAGCAACTATAGCTACACCCTTGCATCAACCTCACAACCGAGTAGTTGGATTAAAGCAGGAGCAGATAATAGGGAAGGAGTGTGACTTCAATCAACAAGGAGTATTCGTCATTTACTAGCCTTAGAATACCTACGATTTACAACGCGTAACTCAACCAACTTGAGCTCAAATCGTACACAGTACATTCGCCTAGCATCGTGCGAAATCGTTTCCTCGTATACACCCGCAATCCGGATATATACAGACTAAAACGTACGACACGATTCTCCATTCTGTTGCCAGCAAACCAATGTATAACCCGCCTAACTTGAAACAAAAGGCAGCTACTAACGAGTAACGACTCTTGCGCACTCTTGTGCCGTCGGCGATGCGGTGTGGCTCGCTGGGAGATTGGACATCGACGCAACACTCGGCGAGCTAATCTTTTACCTACTTACAGCTGGTATGCCCCCCATGCACGCATGCCCACAGCAATCAGCAGCAGCTCCAGCTCCAATCTCCCAGCGAGCCACACCACATCGCCGAGGGCACAAGAGTGCGCAAGAGTCGTTAGTAGCTGCTTTTTGTTTCAAGTTAGGCGGGTTATACATTCGGTTTGCTGGCAACAGAATGGAGAATTGTAAGGCTAGTAAATGACGAATTTCCATTGTTTGTTGAAGTCACACTCCTTCCCAATTATCTACTTCTGATTAAAGGGATACTAAGCCCTAGAATTTTAGGGTATATTATGATAGAAGTGCATAAACAATAGTATATAATATACCTACAAATTTCTATAATCATGCATTCACATTTGTCATAAAACAACAGTGAGTTTCGAAATCTTTATTTTTGGCTGCTGACATGACACCCTGTGATTGTGCTGCCACCCTGATGAAGTTGCGCGTTTGTGCTATTTATTTTGCGAGTTACAGACCAAAGCCAAGCAACGTGTTCCTTGTTATATACTCGTTAAAGCTACAACCAAGCTCACCTTGTCAAACTCAGGCTGCGATGGAGGGTTTTCCCTCAACTCCGGGTCACTGTACTCATTGTTGACGTAGTAGCCGACACGGACAAACTCCGCACCTCTGTACGAGCACGTGATGAGGACGACAGTTACACCGACGACGTCCGCGAGCGGAATCAGGTTAGGATTCGGTGGGTCTGCCTGCAATGCATATATATGCATAAAAAATGTATAATCTTGTAGTCACCAGGGGTAGAAATTGACTCTTGAACAACGGACAAAAAAAGAGACATCAAAAAGAGGGAGTCCTCGGCAAAATGAGGGAGTCCGCAGTCTGAAGTTCAAAATTAAAGATATTAACAATGACGCATACATGCATGTGCTTATTTTGAAGATTCATGTGACTGCACAACTCATGATCTGGCAAATTTCCTTTGGACATTTGCTGAAAAAATACGGTAATTCCGCGAGGCCGCGTGCTCAGAAACGAACTAGTTAGTATGGCAGAATTTTCAGGGAGTCATACGGACTCCTGCATATGTCAAATCAGGGAGTCCGGCAGTAAATCAGGGCGTATTTGACTCCGGACTACCGTTAATTTCGCACCCTGAGTCACTATATATTATTTCATTTCGGTACGAAATTTAGCCATTCACGGTACCCGTGGAATGACTTTTTATCAACTTGGGATTGATGTGTGTGGAATATCGTGATTTTTGTGATCAAATAAGTGGCCGCGAACCCCGGGGGAGGGCACTCCAGGGGAAAAAATTCTTTTTTTCCACGAGAGCTCTTTTTCAAGTCTGTGGAAAAATAGCTCTCGTCAAAAATTTTACGCGAGCTATTTTGAGCCTCACGGGAGCGATTTCGGAGGTTTGAAGAGCGAATCGCTCATCGCTCCCGTGTATTTTTTACCCTGGAGCACTCCCTACAAAATAAGGTAGATGGGTTATAACCGTGGCACATACAGGTCTACCATACAATATATATATAGGGAGTCCCCCCTCCCCCGGGCCGCGAACAATTAGCCATGCAGAGATTTACTGATTCATGGGGGTTACATCAGACACTTGCTGTGGTGATTCTTGAAATATAAGAGCTACAGCTAATTACACGTTTCCCTACAGCAAGTTTAAAGTGGTCTTTTGATGTATGCATGGGCATTCCTTGGACTTTGGTAGTGCATTAATTGTGTTTTACCAATGGCAATGTCAATTAATCATTATCCTACCTGAAAGACAAACATGTGTTTTCCTTCTGGTACAGGTCCAACTAAGACAGAGTCCAATACTTGATCATACTCCTCACTTTCAGCTGAACCAACATAAATTATTTTCCATTCCAAATCTGAAAAGTACAAAAACAAGAATAACACAATACACCCATTGACAGTTCTGCGCCTATGTTCTGCGCCATTAGTTACGCATCTCCGCGAGAGCCCGGATGTGCGAGTAAACTCCGCAATATTGTTTATCTCGATGCGTTATCTGCCTTGCATACGCAGGTCGCTCACCTTTGTGTCGAAGAACAGTGCACGTAGCAGGGAATAGAGCACCGATAATGGATTACCTGAGTGACATGACACTTGATACATTTAAATTATGGTCAATGCATGCTCTAAGTCTTTCTTAAGCCAATACGATCCGTTTGAGCAGCCCTTCACACTACACGCTAACGCCATTGTTCGCGCATTTTACTCGCGCTTTCTGGGACGGAAACTCCTCCCGACCTTTGACATTAGGCTAAGCGCATGCGCAGTGTTAAACTGTCAACGGGTGTATTGCGCACCTCGACAACGACTCAGTGACAGTGACACTGACAGTCATTGTCACAACGACAATCAACAGCCACACTGTCAATGACATTGATTTTGAGTGTTGTAAAAATCACCTACTAACCCAGGTCATGTCATTGACATTGTCAATAATATTACAATAATATGATATATTGTATTTGTAATTGTATCACTAATGTTCCCTCACAATTCAAACTACCCGCTTACCGCTTAATGGCAATACCGTCAGTATTTTAAAACGGTAAAATGGCTTACCTTCAGGTAGATTTTCTATGCATTCAAATGTTATTTCAAATTGAAAAGGATTGAGGAAGGGAGACGGATTATCCAACACGACCACATTTGTCACTTGCACTTTTGCCATCTCCTCACGACAGTAAAGCTACTTCACAAATAGGAAAAACTTTATAGACTTAAAAATAGTCTATTTAAACTTACAACTAGAGTAATATAATCACAATAAATATTCAAACTTCAGACAACGCGCAAAAATGTATAATTATACTTTAGTAGTAAAATTATGGCGCCAAAACTTTGGTCTACTGCCACCTAGTGGTTACTTGTTAGTGCAAATATTTCTTAGTACAATGCGGCAACACGATGCCACTGCCAGATAAAATTATTATGTTATGCTCATTATGGAGTTTATGTATTTACACTTTAGTATTTATCTTAGTATTATATTTATAAATTTGCTGCGGGTATTTTATTACTGTTAAGTAGTTTCTAACTTTTTCCTTGATTTACACACGTGGCATGTAGCGACATCGCTCGGAGTAAAATAGAATAGACTTAGAATCAAAATGGCGGCTGTACTTTCACGAAAATATACAGCAAGGAGCAAAGGCTTTAGAGGCAAGTGTTTACCTTAATATTAGCTAGTCATGTATGCCCGTCAGTGTATTTGTGGATTTGTCTCAGGATATTATCATATTGTGTGATTATTATATGATACATTAGTGTAATTAGGTCGTTGTAACGTAAATATCGCAGTTACAGTTTGATTCCACAACTTTTTTGCTGATGTCAGTGCCTGTAGCGTACTACGTAGCACTGTAGGCTGTAGGCTGTAAACGCCTATACATAGACATAGCCAGGTAAAAATATTCACATGGGTACGTTACGATTACATTTGAACGCGTGTACGAAGTGCCTAACCTAATTAGTAACGTGCTCATTATTTACTAACGGCTTGTGATACTGTATTTATTATTTTGCATGTTTATTATTGTCTTTGAATCAATGAATGGTCACTGTCACAGTGTCAAGCTTCAAGGTTGGTTGCATTATAATTATTGCATAGAGGCCTACACACTGCCAAACCAACATGGTGCTAATGGACTTTGGAGTAATATTTTATGGTAGTACTGCAGATGGAGTCGTTGTCGTATCAGGTACTACAGATATGTACCCGAGGTAGTTTTAGGTTGTTTAGTATTATGTTTATATTTTTATATGACTATGACTATGAGGTATGTTTATGGTTAGGGTTAGGGTTAGTGTTAGGGTTAGGGTACACTTCTGTAGTACAAGTCTGGTACACTTTGTGTATACATTATGTACCTCGGGTACATATCTGTAGTACCTGATACGACAACGACCCCTTGAGCGGTATTACTATAATGAAGAGCTGAGTCTTCATGTACTGTACATCAAGGCCCATTTTGTAGATAGTGTATGTTGGGTGCATCATATCATTATCACAATTTATAAATTCATTCTACCTAAAAACCCAATCGAGCTACACCACGGACTTGCTCCCATTGGCTTAACTTGCTTTTCTGTTTAGTGAGCCTTAGCCCAGGTAAATTATGGTGATGCCTTTTAAATTAGAATATTACTAATAAAGTCTAAACTAAATTTATAGTTTGATGCACAACACAAATAAAGCCAGATTTAGTTAGAAAAATATCTCTAAAAGCCTTTGTTGTGTGTTATATACTTTGCTAAATAGCAACAGTAAATGATATTAGCAAAATGGATTTACATGGTACCTGATTATGTTTTATAGGTAGAGTAGACAGTGAAGAGGAACAAATTCAGCTGGATTTTTCTAAAGGTATATTTGGTCTTTACTTCTGCATGAACACTGTGGTATCTTTGGAGTATATAGTTTCATTCTTCCAATTTAATAACCTACTGATTTAATTCATGGTAATTGGAGATCTAAGATGTGCTCATACGCCATTCAAAGTAATCAAGCCCATAACTCAAACCAATAGTGTTATAACAGAAGTAGCGCGCAATTGTGTCATCCTGTTGGATATAATGTTAATTTTACTAATGATTCTGTCATCAACTGTGCGGGAATACCATTTTCAGGACTTGTTAATGCTGAATGAACGGGATACCATACCAGTCTGTACACACATTTAATCAGCAACATTGTCACCATCTTAAAAAAGTGCAGCTGTTGATACCCTAGTGAGGTTTTTAAGGCTGAATTTGCTAATCCATGGAAGGACAATCTGCTTGTATATATATAGGAGAGCAATGATCTTGTTCGATGTATCAGTGGGACTGTGCTAATGTTAGATTGCGATGATGTCCGAGCAACCGTGAAGAGCACATGCATTCACTCAGGGGCAGGTGGAGAGCAGTGCTGTAATTCTCTTTCTACTCTCTCACCGTGTGAATCATTGCAAACCTTTATGATGCGGTGGAGCAGTGTTATAATTCTCTCTCTCCGTGCCACCGCATGATTCGTCACAAACCTTTATAGATGCGGCGCAGAACATGCGGGACATCCTCGTACACGTGACGCGCGTGAAGGACGAACGCAGAGCACTGAAGCTCGCATACCTCAACAACTTTGTCCGACTCTGCTGTTACCTTGGCAACCAGCATGCTGGTTTCGCACGGGAAGACATCCTATGCTGGTAAGATACTGGTGTAATCACTATTATCAGAAAATCCAAAGTATTGCACGTCATTGTTCTTGGCTGGCCAATATTGAAATTGACTTTAGTGTGATAATTGATTGGCATTCTGGCTATTGGTATGACTACGTTTTGGTACTATACCTCCTCTATGTAATGCTTCAACACAATAATCGTAATGGAGGGGTTAATTACATATCCTGTGTTGTATCTTGATTACTTTAATATTATGTGCAATGATAGGTAACTATGTATCTTTGTGGAACAGTCTTCGCTTAGGCCTGTTGCATCAAGCAAAGGAGATACGCACTGCAACGCTCCGAGCTCTACGCTATTATATCCGGGACAAGCAACGCCTGAGAGCGCTTCTTAGTCTGCAAATAGATTTATTAATAGTGAGGTATGAAAACCTTTACCTTGCTTTACCTTTGCTATACTTCATCTCGCATGTGCAAAGTGGTTTGGCCTGTGTGAGAGAGACATGGTGCAAGCGAGAAAGAGAGAGAGCGAGTGAGAGAGAGAGAGAGAGAGAGAGAGAGAGAGAGAGAAAGAGAGAGAGAGAGAGAGAGAGAAAACGGAGAGAGAGAGAGAGATAAGAGAGAGAAGGGAAGAGAGCGAGATGCTGGGGAGAAATCAAACTGAAGTTTCTGGTATCGTAAGTTTTCTCGTAGCTGCGATGCGTTTCCGTCAACGCTATTCTCGTAATATTAACATCAGTCGTATAAGCGCTATCTTGGCATTAACTTTAGGATTAACATTAGCATTAACTTTAGCATTAACTTTAGCATTAACATTAGCATTAACTTTAGCATTAACGTTAGCATTAACATTAGCATTAACTTTAGCATTAGCGTTAGCATTAACTTTAGGCTTAACTTTAGCATTAACATTAGCATTAACTTTACGATGTTTCTGACAGGTCGTTAGATCTGGTGCAGGATAACGAGGGCGAGCGGATACAGGTGCTGCGTCTCATCCGCAAGATGATGAGCATCGACCCGGCAACGTTCCCGCGATCACTGCTCAACGCCGTCGTCGCAATCGCCGGTGATGGGGGACACGACCGCCTCGTCCGCTGCTGCCTCGCCACCATATGCGAACTGGGTTAGTTTTATTTTGTTTTATTTGTTTTATTTTTATTTATTTTTTAATTTTTATTTATATTTATTTTTTTAGTTTTATTTTATTGTATTATTTATTTTTTGTTTGTTTTATTTCTGTTTAGTTTCGCGAGCCGCTCTCCATCAACTCTATTTTATTCGTTTATTTTTTTGGTTAGTGCTCGGGAGTTACCGCTCTCTGTCAACCCTCGCGTCGTAGTGTGTAGCATGGATGAGAATTATCCTTTGTTCCGAACCTGTATGATGCAGGTGTATGTTCTGCTTCACTACACTAACACGGTAACGCCTGTAAGCGAGCGCCGCGCCAGCAGTTCGCGAGCCTCGTTATCGATCGACCGGTTGTTATGGCGGGGAATCTGATTAGCGGCGAGCAATCGAGCTTACAGAAGTAAATACGGCAAAACTTCGCCCTAGGCGAATACCTGATGAATGGAAACAATCCAGTTAATGGCTTTGGCAGAAGCATGCACTAATTGCAGTTATAAATTCAACTTGAATAACTTGAGAAATGACGTCAGGCAAAAGCCTGCTCGCTGATTGGCCCGTTACAGCTCTCTGATTGAGCGCGATGATTTCTTCGTTCGCGAAGCGCGCTGAATAAGCAAGGGGTACAGGCGGTTAGTGTAGTGAAGCGGAACATACGCCTGTATCATACAGGTTACTTTGTTTCCGAGAAATTTCTCGGATTTGGCAGCCCCTGGGGTCGATTTTGTGAAACGTCTAAATTTTTATTTATTTTATTTTATTTTATTATATTTTTTTAGTTTTATTTCTGTTTAGTTTCGCGAGCCGCTCTCCTCTCTGTCCATCCTAGTGTTGTAGTGTGTAGTCTCTGTGTGATTGTAGGTGGTTTTCATGTGGGGGAGGATTTTGTGATTCTGCGAACTGGGCTAGAGCTTGCGAGTTACCGCTCTCTGTCAACCATAAGCTGGGTTTACACTATCAACGTTTTGCTGAAAAGTTGACAGAGCTGATAAATTTTTTTCAATTAATTGACTGAAAGTCGGCAGTGTAAGCGTAAAATTTGAGCGCTCAACTTGTAAGCTGATATGAACTAGTTTTGAAATTAGAACACGTTCTATTTTCTCAACCTTCGGTCAGCGAGTTGATCAAGTTTTTGCCACTCTGCTTTGCGAGCTGCTCAATCCTAGCGTTGTAGTGTGTAGTGTTTATGTGATCGCAGACGGTATTTGGATAGGGGGAGTATTTTGTGAATTGTAGCAGCTGTACGTTTCACCTGTGCCTGCCATTGTGTGTTAGCTACAATTTTTCTTGGGTTTAAATAAACATTTTGAAGCACAGTGGCAAACGTTTCTTTTAAAGAAATGTTCTAGGACAACTTTCCTTTTTGTCGACAAATTTTATGCGGAACAGATGGGCATACATACAAAACATTGGCTTTAGGCCAATTTTCAAGGCTTTTCAAGGCAATTTTTAACCCGTTTTTCCTGATCCACTGTAACCTCTATGAGGCATAAATCGATTATGATATGGTATAGATTTTTTCTATAGGATATGAATGTGGGTTAACATCATTGCGTGTTGTTACCCCCTTCTCACGATCGTGCAGCGTTATGCCTGCATGTTGCAATGACGTTCGAATCCCAATGCATGCGTGTGACTGGTAGTGATGGGACTCGGTTGGAATTTCATCATCGAATCGATCATCGGTTGCACCCAACCGATCGATGATCGAAGATAATCGGTTGAATGGCATTGATCGCGGCTACCAGATATTGAAATATATCATGTATAATTATTATAATATGAGTATTTTTTATAATACAATATTCTAAAAGCTATGTAACAGTATTATACTTGCTTATGTTTGGTGTAGGTTAAAAATGTAACAAACAAAAACCGCACAAAAATAAAATAGTAATTTCATCAATATTTGCAAATTTTAATTTTAATTAATTATTTTTTTTGATAATCGATAATTTATTTTCATAATCAAGCGCTCAGTCGGTTGCTGCAAATATAATCGATGGATGATGGATTATAATCGATCGTCGGGACATCGCTACTGACTCGTTAACCCGTCGTTCTCTCTCCCCCGCAGCTGTGTACAACCCGGAGGTGGTGGCGCGGGCCGGCGGCGTTGGCGTGCTCATGAAGTGCATCCTAGACGCGTCGATGCCGGGAATCAACGAGGCGATGGTGGCAACTGTGCTGCACCTGCTCAACAACCCCCGCACCAGACCCTACATACGCAACGGCGTTGACATCGAGGTCAGTGTGATAGCTCAGCCAGCAGCGGCTTCTTAAACTGTATATATACTGAGCCCTTACTATAGAATCACCTACATGAGTTGAATCTTCAATATAATGATCTTCAGATAATGTCTGCTTCTAGAGCAGTGCTTCTTAAACTATTTCAGTGTCATTCACCCTCGAGTCTTTATCACAAAATTTCATTCACCCACGAAAGTTTCATTACGCTAACCCAGTGCTTCTTAAACTAGTGAATGGTTGAATGAAATTATTTTAGGGTGAATGAAACTTACCAAAAACATAAGGAAATTTAGTTGCAGGTGAATGAAATTATTTTGGAGTGAATGAAAATGGGTGAAAAACGAGAGGAAATTTAGTCGCGGGTGAATGAAATTTTGTGATAAAGACTCGAGGGTGAATGACACTGAAATAGTTTAAGAAGCACTGGACTGTTAGCGCATGGATGGACCGTCTGGCAGCCATGTGGTTAAGCATAGACGTCTCTCCAGGCACCAGGGTGCGAAATTAACGGGTGTCCGGAGTAAAAAACTCCCTGATTTGACATATGCAGGAGTCTGTGTGACTCCCTGAAAATTCTGCCGTACTAAATAGTTCATTATGGAGCACGGCCTTGCGGAATTACCATATTTTTCCAGCTAATGTAAAAAAAAAATTTGCCAGATGTGCAACCGCATGAATCTTAAAAATAAGCACATGCGTTATTGTTAATATCTTTAATTTTGAACCTCAGACTGCGGACTCCCTCATTTTGCTGCGGACTACTGTTGGTGTATGGCAGATAACCATGACATTAACATAGACAATTAAGCTTATATTAAAGCACCGCGCCTTCACAAAGGATGGCTGGATAAGGTCAATATCACCTCTAGCCCCTTTTGATAAAGGCAGTTGTCATTTTCGGAAAACGTTTGTTGGTCTAAGAAAAGGTTATCAAGATGAAAAAAAACAATCAGATGTTGGTAGCCACTCTCGGAACTAATATGTCAAAAGCATTGTTCGTTAACAACTTAACAGTCGGGATGACTGTTTGTGGTAACGACTGTTGACTTTTGGTTGCAGCAAGTACTAGCACCGTTCACAGATTTTCACTACAAGCACAACTCTATTGCACCTGATCAGGAAGCATCTGAAAGGTAAATTTCTCGTATAGAGACAACACCTGTCGTAATGATGTCTTACACTACCCCCCTGCTGTTATGTTATCTCACAGTTTCACCTGCTGTAATGATGTCTCACACAGCTGGTATTTTCTTTGTCACATGCATGCTGGCATGTTAAAGTGCTGTTTAAAAATTCCAGTGTCGAAGTAATGTGGTCAGTATAATCAACCCAATAACTCTAACAAGGTTTGTCCTGCATTTAATGTTTCAGCGAAGACCAGGAATTACGATTTGTCGCGTGCAAGCAAGCGATAGTTACGATGCTTCGGTCCTGGCCAGGTACGTGGTGATATATGCATGTATAAAATATAAAGTTAGTTGCAAAGTTGAGTTTAAAAGACTTCATTACAAATTGATACAGTGATAACGTGGTTATACACATGGGTTCACTGTGTAAAATGTCTGAGCGTCATACTTTGCCAGACACACTGCTTGGTATTGATTTATAACTGTTATTATTAGCTGCTAGACGTGTGTTATTGATCATGCTTCTGCTTCTATACTAGGAATGATACGACTATGCAAGAAAAACGACTCGGGGATCCGCTCTGTGGTAAAAGTACTATCCCTGCCTTATGAGGATATAAGGGTAAGCGTGACTATTTTAGGGTTATGTGGGCTTATGTTTGGGTAGCTGCTATTATGCTAGGGTAGGTGAACTTGTCCGATAATATCGTCGTAATAGATGTACAATGGTATATGTAAATATTTCCACACAAATCCTTGCTCACTCCCATTTCCATCACTGACTTTCAGCTATGAAACCTGTATCATTCTTCTCTGTTTCCTTTCTTTGGTCAGATGCTGAGACTGTACTCTACAGTGTCGTATTTCATAGATACAGGATCTATCGCTACATAAAACGTTGAATGTCAGATACAGTTACATTCGCAAGATAAAGACTTCCCTGTTTTTGAATTTTTGTTGGCAACCTCCTTTTTGAATTACAGAAACATTTCATAGACGTGCTGTTTGAAGTCTTTCGAATTCCCGCGTTGGAGTGGACAGACGACTTTTCTGACGCATTGTTATCCTTAGGTACGTTCGCTTGTTTGTGATGTCGGGTTTTGTTCCTGGTCACAGAAGAATGAAACTTGCGGGCATTCGACACATGACTTAAGTTGCATTTTGCAAACACTGCCTTAGTAGTTGGTTATTATTGTGATGTATATAAGGCACGTAATCAAGAAAGAAAAGCCATGCATGTATTGAGTTCATGATTTATATGTATTTTTATTTTTATGTATTTTGTTTCCGATTTTCATAATTCTGTGGTGCAGTGTGCCAGGTTGTGCAAACAGTGACATCTCATGAGGGGTGTATAATATAGACACTAGTACATAGTATATAGTATAGTATATAGTATAGGTCTGTATAATACTTTGTAGATCCTTCATCGATGAGAGATGGCTGGCAACTGATGGAGGGATTTGTTGTAGAAGAAGGGCTGTCGATACTACCTCACAGAGCTAGCACTCGGTATGCCGTATGCCGGTCCGTGTTACATGTCTAACGTGTACCTCTCACTTATCTGATATATATATATATATATAATATCAGCTACGTGGTACATAACATATACATATTACCTTAGGCAACTACCATTAGCTGTATGAAGTGATGGTTGCTCAGTCTGATTTGTTTGAGGTTGAAGAAAAAAAAATTATTTCATGGAGAAAGGAAACAGAAAGGACAGTATGTAAGTGCGTACATGATATGGTATTATAGATATTTTATTTGTGTAAATTTACAGAATGAACTTGGTGGAAAACTATCTGTCATTGCTGATCACAGCATTTGTACAGGCGGGGTTGCTCGAGGTAAGGCACCTGAAATGTATATACTGAGCCGTTATTATAGAATCACCTACATGAGTTGAATCTTGCCATAATGTATGCTTCTAGAGCAGTGCTTCGTAAACTATTTCAATGTTATTCACCCTCGAGTCTTCGAAAATTTCAGTCACCCGCTACTAAATTTCCTTATGTTTTTCACCCATTTTCATTCACTGTTGGATGAACCATTCACCAGTTTAAGAAGCACTGTTCTAGAGTAACACGGCATTATGGGAGTTGTTTTTGCATAACACCAACTATGCTCAGTAAACAGTCTATGTCTCCTGTTATAAAAACGTTTAATTCTCTAATCAGCCGTGTTCCAAGACTAATTTACGCTAAAATCGTTAATATTTCGTACCTCTAGGCCCTCGTCGAAGTGATAATATCAGCTGGTCGGTCGATGGCAGTAGCAACGACAATCTTGCTCGGAGAGCTACTGCATGTGGTACGTCTCACGGTTTCCTGTTCGCAGCGTGGAGCATGGTTGCTGTGGTAAAGTTACTCGTGCCTTCTGTGGAGCGAGAGAATAGTTGCCATGGTAATGTGAATCATGCCGTGTATGTCACATAATGGCAGTTGTTGTGTGTGTTGTGTGTTGTTGTTGTTGAGGTTTGTATATCCTGTAGGTGAATGGGGTGTTTTTGCTACATGTCGATGTGACTTTTACACGTCTTCTGCATGTCAATCGTGAAAAGGTCTGTAGTAACGGAACTATCTGTGCGTTCTGCAGGGTAACAGGCTGGTGCCTGTGGAGGTGAGTGCGTACTCACAGTGCTTGCCCACCCTCACCGGCCTCGCCGCCTCACCTAACAAGTCGGCCGAAGTCAGACTGTAAGTGTTTGTCATTTTGAAATCGTGACTGTTCAATGTTGTACAGAGGTCACACAATTACATGATTGATGTAAGAATGTTAATAATAATAGCACCACTAATAATGGTAAAATTGATAATGGTGATGACGATGATGGTAATAACAATAATAATAATAATAATAAATATATTTAATATATTATATTATTATTATTAATATTATTATATTATCGTTATATACTAAAATGATATTTTAATTCGTTTTACGTTAACAATAGACTTATGTTATAAATATCTGATAAATATATTATAGTACAAATAATATGATGATATGATTATAAATAACAAATTAATTATAGTAATAATGATAATAATCGTTGCGGCACAGTGGCGACAGTGTAATCATTGTGACGGTGTCGGGGTGGACAGGCGTGCGAGGGAAGTCGTCGGATACCTGAAGAGGCTGCACGACGTAAAGAAGCGAGGTGTCGTGCCGTGCTCGCTCTACCTCGACCAGATCCTACAGCTAGCGCCACGAGCGCTGCAGACGTCTTCCGGAAGTCGCTTCAACCCAGGACATCTCGCACAGACCCGCCTCGCGCAGACGCTGGAGAGGGTAAGCGCCCCCTGCTGGTTATTATAAACACCTCGCACAGACTCGCCTCATGCAGATGCTAGAGAGGGTAAGCGCCCCCTGCTGGTTATTATAAACACCTCGTTAAGACGCTGGAGAGGGTAAGCGCCCCCTGTTGGTTATTATAAACACCTCAGCCAGGATGTTGATAAGCTGAGCGCCCTCTACTGGTTACTATGAGCGATTTTCAAACATTTCAGGATGCAGAAGAGGTGCTGACGCAAGCAATCAAGGACAGCCAGGTGCTGGTCACGAAAGAGAACTTCAACTGGGACTGGGATCTCATCGCTGCACTGCTCAAGGTATGAGCCGACCGTGTGGGACGGTTGGGTTCGGGGACGTGTGGGAGAAGGGTGTGTGGGGGTGGGGCTTGGGCATGACGAAGATATAGGCGTGGTGAGGGTGTATGCGCGAGGGTATTGGGGTGGGTGAATTCACCTTATCACTGTTTCGTTGACAATGTGTAACTGTTGACTGTGAATTGCTGTGCAGTGGCCCGGCGATGGACTAGTAAGCATTGACAGGGCATCTGGAGGGAAGTTTGTGACCAGAGTGAGCTACTTCTTCAGCCCTCGCAGCATGCTCTTCTCAACGATCGACCAGGGCAACGACAGAGCACAGCTGTTCTCTGTCACTGCGTGCTACCTGCTAGAATTCCTTCTCATTCACGACGAGGTGAGTTACGTCACACCTGCGGTAGTGGCGCTGGTGATTAGTGATGGGTTTCGGTTGGAATTTCATCATCGATCATCGGTTGCACCCAACTGATCGATGATCGAAGTCAATCGGTAGAATGTTATTGATCGTGGCTACCAGATATTGAAATATATCATATATCATATAATACAATATTTTTTTAAATACTATATTCTAAAAGCTATGTAACAGTATTATACTTGCTTCTGTTTGGTGTAGGTTAGATTTACTGTCTTCAGTAACTCCTTACTTACTTACAGTTGTAAAGTAATCAACAAAAATACACAAAAATGAAATAAAGAGCCACTTCATCAATGTTTGGAAATTTAATTTAAATTAAAAATTTTTTTTTGATAATCTATTAATTTTCATAATCGAGCGCTTAGTCGGTAGCTGCAAACGACGTTCGAGTTTTGATTATAATCGATCAGCGGGACATCACTACTGGTGATGCTGATGTTTGGTCATGGTCGTGATCAGTCAACTCAGTGAGCGAGTTCACATTGCATTTTCTCAATTAGTTTCGTGCTTTTGCGAATGATGTATGGATTATAGAAAACTGAGAATATGGTAATTTTGTTGCCGTAACTTGGAATGAATTGCATTTGATTGAACATGATTGCGAAGTGCTAATGAAGTTGGAAAACTCGATGGCGTACGCTGGTCGTGGTGATCGCGATGGTTATGATAGTGTTGGTGGTTGGATGCAGCAATAAATAAATAAATACCTGATTGCAAATTAATCACAAGACCTGCTCCTTGTGTCAAGAACTCATGTGCATCCTTGTAAAATCATGTCTAGCATAATGTCTATGTGTAACTGTGATCACATACGTGGTTACTTTTGTATGGCATTGCTTGCTATATATATTTCTTGTTTTTTTCCTACAGCCAGAGTACCAGAAAATACTAGAAGATTTCTTGGCAGAGATCTTGGACTGCTTGAAGGAGGTGAGCCTATTGTTGCATTTCATCATCATTATAAACAAGTATACCTTGGGAAATAGCTAGTGTGTGTGCGTGCGTGCGTGCGTGCGTGCGTGCGTGCGTGTGTGCGTGTGTACGTGTGTACGTGCGTGCGTGTGCATGTGCCTGCACACGGCTCATTTACACGTACTCATGTTTACAGGTGTATGTTTATAATTTCACAGGTGTGCGATTGTAATTCACAGGTGTGTGTTTGTAATTCACAGGTGTGTGTTTGTACTTGACAGGTGTGCAGGGAGCATGTGACGGGATCGCTAGTGCTGTCACCTCAGAGCTTGCTCAGCACTCTCAGTCGCGACTACTTTCTCCTAATCGGGAGGCTGTCTTACTCTCTACGCGGCGAGAAGGCGCTGTCCCGGGCCGGCATCTTCCTACGGTAAACATCCAAACATCTGATTGAATAATTACGTCGGCTCGCTATAGTTCACATAAAAATAAAGTTTATCTCAGTTAGATCAAAAATGGGTTATAAATACTTACACTGACGGAAACATCAGACCTGAGGAAGTCTATCGGAGAGATGGACTAAAAATTTCGTCAGTGTAAGTATTTATAACTTTTTTTGGATCTCGATGAGATCAACTTTATTTTTACATCCAAACATCATTCTCTGTCTTTCTTATGAGTTGAGGGTGATGTCAGTGGCTGCTTCTATCTTGTGCCTGTCTGTGACTGTGTCTGTCTGTCTGCCATGATGTGGTGCTGCTGTCTGTGACTGTGTTTGTCTGTCTGCCATGATGTGGTGCTGCTGTCTGTGACTGTGTTTGTCTGTCTGCCATGATGTGGTGCTTGCTGTCTGTGACTGCGTCTGTCTGTCTGCCATGATGTGTGCTGCTGTCTGTGACTGTGTTTGTCTGTCTGCCATGAAGTGGTGCTTGCTGTCTGTGACTGTGTCCCTGTCTGTCTGCCATGATGTGGTGCTGCTGGTCTGGTGACTGCATCTGCCTGTCTGCCATGATGTGGGTGCTGCTGTCTGTGACTCGCGTTTGCTGTCCTAGGCCATGATGTGGTGCGGCTAGTCTGTGACTGTGTCTGTATGTCTGCCATGAATGTGGTGGCTGCTGTCTGTGACTGCGTCTGTCTGTCTGGCCACTGATGTGGTGCTGCTGTCTGTGACTTGTGTCTGTATGTCTGCCATGATTGTGGTGCTGGTGGCTGTGTCTGTGACTGCGTTGTCCTGTCTGGCCATGATGTGGTGCTGCTGTCTGTGACTGTGTCTGTCTGCTGGCCATGATGTGGTGAGTCTGTGTCTGTGACTTTCGTCTGTTCTGTCCTGCCATAGATGTGGTGCTGCTGTCTGTGACTGTGTCTGTATGTCTGCCAATGATGTGGGGCTGTTGTCTGATGAGCTGGGGTGCTGTCTGTTCTGCCATGATTGTGGTGCTGCTGTCTGGTGACTTGTGTCTGTATGTTCTGCAACATGATGTGGGGCTGTTGTCTGTTGACTGAGTGTCTGTCTGTCTGCCAAATGATTGTGGTGCTGCTGTCCCTGTGGCTGAGTCTGTCTGTCATGGCCATGAAATGTGGTGCTGCTGTCGTGACTGGAGTGCTGTCTGTCTGGCATGATGTGGTCTGCTGTCTGGGAACTTGGTGTCTGTCATGGTCCTGCGCATGATGTGGGTGCTGCTGTCTGTGCCATGAGATGTGCCTCTGATTGTATTGTGTCAAAATGAGCTTGAATGAAATTGGTCATGATAATAATCAATTTGGTCAATGGCTAAAATAGTGATGGGCAGCGAGTTACAAACGCTGATACTGTACGTGTTTTAAAGATATGTTAACAATTCGCTGAAATGTTTACTGTATTTTACGCAGTGACAGTAATACCGCCCTGTCACATTCCAGTGCACCACTCATGCCGCGACACTCGCAACCTGTTCAAGACATGATGGACGCTGGTTTTCCACGTACGAGCACACGGATGTGTATGTGAAGCTGGTCCGTCTCCGTCAGTTGAGCTACAATAGGAGCGGCCATTGCGCGGCACCATCGGCTGTCTCGCATGCGTCACCGGCGGAACCGACGTAACGTGTTACGCGGCGCACGCCCGCAGTCTCACGAAAAACCTTTTGTGCACTTGTGTAAAATGTACATGTCCATTCTAAAATTTGTCCATATATTTTTGCAGGAATGATTTTGGGAATATCGAGTAATGATAGTGTGCACCAGACAACTTCTAGACATGTGTGGCTAAACATTTCGTGATTTTAATTAAAAATGCATTTAGTTAATGGCCAGATTTGTGTTATAGTTTAATGCGTTTTGAAGAGCAGAGCCCGTCGGGCAAGTGACTTGCAATGTTTACATGCCGGAGATCTTAAAATTTGGGGTGGCCGCCCCGGCTACAAATTCGAAGATCTGGGCCGCTCCGCACGGCCATCGCTCGCTCGCTCCCTAGCTATTGCTTTTGGCGTAAAAAGAAGGATAATTGATTTTAAATGGTGGCCATTTCGAAATTCAAGATGGCTGATACCAATGCGGATGGAGATTGGTAGCCCGATTCTGGCATATGAATGTAGCACGCTCTTAAACTACCTGTGTGGCCAAATTTTCCTGCTTTTATGTCAAAAAGGTTGCACAATTATATCCGCCTAGGCTCCATGCTACTATAAGCCAGTGCTCTTAAACTAGTGAATGGTATTGTCCCAGAAGTGAATGAATTATTTTGGGTGAATGGAAATGCATTGAAAAACGTAAGGAAATTGTTGTCGCGGTGAAATGAAATTTTGTGATTAAAGACTCGAAGGTAGAATGAGCAGCTGAATAGTTTAAGAAGCACCACGCCATACGGCACGCCCCCCCACCCCATTCTCTCTTTAACACTCCTGGTGGTGACGTGGCGGGTGTGTGACCGGCTGCATTGTTGTTTTGCATGTTGTTTGCAGATGTCGCGCGTGTACGCCAACTCAAGCACCTGCGGCGTGAGCTGCTTGCGTGGCATCACCGAGGCTCAGAGTTTTGATGGTTGGGGCGTCCGACGATAGCTGGGCCAGCAGCTGTACGAACAAGAGCAAGTCCGTCTCCTGCTAAGCCCTGGAGCCGTGCCTCGACGTAAGCGGCCGAGGACGAGGTAAAGCGCCACCTACGCCGTCCGGCAAGTTACGCCAAATCTGCTGACTGGCGATGACTTCTAGTGCGTTTTTGATGTGCGTGATCGTTTTACTTTGTTTGAGCGCTCAAGTTGCCGGATTTATCCGTGGTTTTGATGTGGGCACTAGATCGTTTATCATTCATAATTTTCTATTCATATTCTTTCATATCGTCTATAGATCAACTATCAATACAATCTAATAGAATGCATCTATAGATTACTATCTATAGAATCATCTATCATCATCTATTTCAATCATGCTATAGATGCATCTATCAATCATCTATAGATCATCTATAAATCATTCTATGCAATCATCTATAGATCATGGCTAATCAATCATCTATAGATCATTCTATAATGCATCTAGAGATCTATGCTATCAGTCATCTATCAAGTCATCTATCATCATCTAATAGATCCATCTATAGATGCATTCTATCATACATCTATAGATCATCTACGAGTGGCTCAATTTAAGGTTTTTTTTGGGTGTCCGGAGGACAACAGCAAGAGAGTAGCATATGTTGTCACCTCCAAGAGTTTTGTTGTCCGGAATATTATTTAACATGTGGCTGGCATAGGCGCTTCTGCTCACGTGATTGCTCAGTGCTGTAAAGCAAAAGGCCTGAATCCATGTTAACATTTTGTGACGTAAATTGCAGTGACGAGCAAGACATGGTCATTGGCATTCGTTTCACATCATTATGATGGAGAGAATTAAAATATTGGGTAATGTGGTAAATGATGGCTGGGATCAATGACGTATAATAATAGTAATTAAAAGTTGCATGAAAGTTATTTCATAACATTTTACATTAAGTTAACTAACACTGACTACATTACTAAAACAGTGTCGAAGTCAGAGATGAGTACAAATTAAACACGAACTTGTGTTGTTTAAACACGTGATGTTATACTTTGTACCAAGCAAGCCGACAATGCGTCTAAGAAACAAATGTAAACGTTTTGCAAGCGTTATTGTGCAACCCGTGGCCGTATGAGAAATGAATGCGCGCATTATGAATATAAAATTTCTATAGAGGTTGGACACCAGGACAACTACGGAAGGGGCAATTGTGTAGTTGCCGGGAGAGAAATCCAGTCGTCACGGAGCGACCGGACGACTGTTAAAATTGAGCCCTTGATGCTAATCATCATACTATAGATCATCATAGATCATCTATCAATCATCTAAGAATCATGCTATCATCATCTATAGAATCATTACTATCAATCATCTATAGATCATCTATCAATTATCTATAAGATCAATCTATCATATCATACTATAGATGCATGCTATAGTATCATATATAGAGCATCTATCATAGATCATTTTCTTAAGTTTGACATCTTGAGTTGTCAGGTTTAACCGTCGTTTGCAGGATCTGCTTGCTCAACTCAACAACCGATGAACGTATTTTGATGAATGCGTGCATGCGTGCGTGTGTGTGTGCGCACCGTACACGTAACAGTACGTGCAGTGCACGCTCCGCACGGCACGTGCACACACAGTACAATTGCGTGACGTTGTTGCTGTAGGCGAAGCCCTTAGCGCGCTGGTGTTCATGCGACCGTCGTGCTGCACACTGGTAAGCGCGGGCTTCGATGGGCTCATGGTTCGGGCTTCCTCTCAACACTGTTTCGTTACAGTACCTCACCAACTCGAACTTTGTTCTCCGGGAGCTGACCTAAAGTGGAACAAGGTGAGGACTTGCTGGTGATGTGGAGAAGAGTGGGGGACAGGAAATGGTGGGGGGATGGTATCCGGTGGTATGTGGAAAGGGAGTGCCCGTGGCGGTGGTGAAGTAAATTTGAAAAGTACTGGCCGGCCGAGATCCGGAAAATCTGAAAAAAAACGCGGACGCGACCCAATCCCTCGAGCAGTCTGGATTTTTGGACTTCTACTGCATGTGCCATCTACGTGATACCGTGTCCGCGTACCAGCATTTTAACAACTTATACGTTCACGTGTGACTGGTGTGATGGGTTCACATGCCGACGTTCACATCCGGATATGTCAGCATGGTTGAAGGGCAGCAGATGAATGTTCGGGGCTGACTAGTCACGTGCAGGTGGGCTAGACGGGGCAGCTTTCAGCGCGGAGATTACTAGCGTCAAGTAAGCGGTTACAATCCAGTTTGTTTCCTTTTTGCGATTTATTGTTATTTTAATGCGAGGTTTTCTTAATTTTTATACTACAAACCTGCTACTAGAAACTACTAGCTACTATTAGCTACTGAAAACGTCTAGCTATACAAAAAAAAACTTGCATGTTTTAT